GAAGAAAACTGGTTGTACATTGATGTCAGATGGATGGACTGATGGAAAGGGTAGATCTCTTACTAATTTTCTTGTTAATAGTCCTAGAGGAACTATTTTTATAAAATCTGTTGATACAAGCAGCTTTATTAAAGATGCTGAAAAAATGTTTGAATTACTTGATGAGATGGTGATGGAAATTGGAGAAGAGAATGTCGTTCAAGTAGTGACAGATAGTGCTTCAGCCTTTGTATCTGCTGGACAAAAGTTGATGGATAAAAGAAAGCAACTCTTTTGGTCACCCTGTGCAGCCCGCTGTCTTGATTTGATTTTGGAAGATAGTGGTGGCATTACAGTGTTCTATAATACCATTTGGAAAGCAAAAAAAATTACAACTTTCATTTATAGGCACACATGGGTGTTGAATTTGTATAGAACCTTTTCCAAAGGTAGAGAGTTAGCTAGGCCTGCAATAACAAGGTTTGCTACATCATATTTGACAATGCAGTCAATTTTGAAACAAAAGACTGCACTTCGATCTATGTTTACATATGAAAAATGGGTTAATAGTGCTTATTGAAAGCCAAATTTGCAGAAAATGTTGTTTTGGCTGATAAAAGGTTTTGGAAATCAATACATTATTGCTTGAAAATTGTGTCTCCTCTTGTGAAAGTTCTTAGACTTGTGGATGGTGATTCAAAACCTGCAATGGGATACATTTATGAGGCTATGGATAGAGCAAAGGAAGAAATAGCAAAGAGTTTTAATCATGAGGAAAAGAGATATAAGGATGTATGGGAAATCATTGACAAGCGTTGGGATTTACAACTTCATAGGCCTCTTCATGCAGCCGCCTATTTTCTTAATCCAAAGTAAGTATTTTTTTTTTATAAAAAATTTATTTATATAAAATTCTTTATATTTTATATTTGATTTATTATTAAGCCTTATTCTAAATTTATAATAATTATATAGGTTCCACTATGACACAAAGTTCAACCCAGATCGTGAGGTTAAAACTGGCTTGTGGAAGACATTGGAGAAGATGTGTCCTGATATTGAAACAAGGATCACAATTGATTCCCAAATTGAGAAATTTGACAGGGCTGAAGGACTCTTTGGAAATAGTTTAGCAATTGCAACTAGAGCTAGGAAGCAACCTGGTAATCATCGAATTTTGTGTATTGATTAAATTATGTTTTGATATTTTTAAAATTAAAAATTAAGTCATTAACCAAATATTTATTTATCAATTATATATTTTTTTGCTAGCTTTATGGTGGAATAGTTTTGGAGACGACTGCAAAGAGCTGCAAACAATAGCTATTCGTATCCTAAGCCTCACTTGCAGTGCTACAGGGTGCGAGAGAAATTGGAGTGTGTTTGATCAAATTCACTCTAAGAGAAGAAACCGTTTAGAGCAACAAAGGTTGAATGCTGTTGTGTTTGTTAAATACAACCTTCAACTTGAAATTAGGCAAAAACAAAGGGAGGAAAAGGAGACACATATGATCCTATCTGCTTATCAGATTTAGATTCTGACGAGGAATGGATTACTGAGCAAGAGGAGCCTTGCCTAATGGATGAGGAATCTTGGATGGATGTTCATGAGTGCTTCAACGTTGATGAAGGAGACCAAAGCAAAAAGAGAAAGAGAGGTATATTTGCATATATAATATTTCTTTTAATCAAACACCTTATCTAATATATTTATTTACATTATGTATATTTTTTTTTTAGGTCCTCGAAATCTTCAAGATGATAGGAATGATAAAGGCAAAGACATCTTAATACAAGAGGATGTCAACAGGAATGATAACAGAAAAGGATCTCAAATTATTGAACAAGATATGGGAGATAAGTCATATGACTCTACTAATGGAGAGGATGAAGGACTAGATATGCCAATACTAGATCCTGATAGTGATAGTACTGATAATATTAGTCTTGAAATTTAATGAATATGAGAAATAACTGGTTTTAGATTTGGTTACTTATGGATATTGGTATTTAGATTTTTTTTAATTTGGATTTATATGATATTATATATTTTTAAGTTATTTTTTAATTTGTTTCTGAATCTTACGATTCGATAGATTCACGATACAAAAAAGCAGCCGAACGATTCACGATACGTATTGCGATTCAACAACCATGCCTACGACCATTTCTTCGAAAGTTTGCCTTGGTCTTCTTTGATGATATACTGTTGTATAGCAAGACCAGGGCTGATCATTTGCAGCACTTACGGATGATCTTGGAAACATTGAGGGAGCAACAGCTATTCGCTAATAGGAAGAAATGCTCTTTTGGGCAGACACAAATTGACTACTTGGGGCACATAATTAGCCGTGGAAGAGTAGCTGCAGATCCTGCCAAAACAGAGGCAATGCGTGCATGGCCAACTCCTAAGAACGTGAAAGGACTGAGGGGGTTCCTAGGACTGACGGGATACTATAGAAAGTTTGTCAAGGGATATGGGATGCTGGCCAAACCTCTTACTGATCTGCTGAAGAAGGAATCCTTTCGCTGGAACGATGATGCCCAGGCCGCCTTTGAACACCTAAAGAAGGTCATGTGTGATCTTCCCATTCTATCACTTCCTGACTTCAGCAAGAAATTCACGGTTGTGACAGATGCATCAGGCAAGGGGATTGGGGCTGTGCTGATGCAGGAGGGTAGGCCTTTGGCTTTCATCAGACAGGGGTTTTCACTACGTTCCTAAGGGAAGTCGGTCTATGAAAAGGAATTAATGGCGTTGGTGTTTGCTGTGCAGAAGTGGAGACATTACCTCATGAGTAGGCATTTCGTGGTCAAAACCGACCAGAAAAGTCTGAAGTACCTAATGGATCAAAGAGTTCTAGGGGAAGATCAACAAAAATGGACATCTAAATTGTTGGGATTTGATTATGAAGTGCAATATCAGCCAGGACGTGAGAATGCGGTGGCTGATGCGCTCTCCCGTGTGCAATATTTTTCCACCTCAATTGTCTCTCTACCGTTGATGGATCAGATTGAAGAGGAGCAACAGTCAGACCCCCACCTGAGGCAAGTTATTCTGGATTTATTACATGACCCAGAAAGTCACAGCGGCTTCCATGTTCAGGGGGAAAATTGATGTTTAAAGATAGGCTGGTGATACCAAAAAACTCTCCACTGATTGCAGTTCTCCTTCGGGAATTTCATGATACCCCTATGGGAGGGCACTCGGGGTTCTTTAGGACTTTCAAGAGGATCTCGAATCTAATATATTGGGAAGGGATGAAGAAAACCATTCAAGCTCATGTTTCATAGTGTGTTGTATGCCAGCAAAATAAGGCTTCTAATTTGACACCAGCAGGACTACTGCAGCCACTACCAATCCCGGAGCAGATGGACTGATGTATCTTTAGATTTTGTTGGAGGCCTACGTAAGGCTTGTGGGTTAGATACCATTTTTGTGGTAGTAGATAGGCTTTCAAAATACGCCCATTTTTTGCCATTATGTCATCCATACAGTGCGCAGGAGGTGGCCTTGCTTTTCATTAAAAATATAGTTAAGCTACATGGCTTCCCAAAGTCCATTGTTTTTGACAGGGACAAAGTTTTTCTTAGCCATTTCTGGTCGGAAATATTTAAGAAGTCTGGAACCTCTCTGCGGTTCAGTACCGCTTATCATCCCCAATCCAACGGGCAAATGGAGATAGTGAATAAGTGCCTAGAAACTTATCTACGGTGTTTTTGCCAACCTCAACCCAAACAGTGGCCCAAGTGGTTGCATTGGGCAGAATATTGGTACAATACCACATATAAGGCACCCACTCGAACTACCCCGTTTAAAGCTTTGTATGGGACTGATCCTCCATCTTTATTTCGAGCTGGGCATGGTGCAAGAGTGGCAGAAGTGGAAAAAATGTTACAAGAAAGGGATGTTATCTTACAGGAGCTGAAGCAACATTTGATATTGGCTCAAAATCGTATAAAGGTCCAAGCTGACAAGCATAGAAGAGATGTGGAGCTAGCGGTCGATGATATGGTTTACTTACGGATTCAACCTTGTAGGCTGAAGACTTTGGCCAGACGTATTAATGAGAAACTCAGCCCCCGTTTTTATGGGCCTTACAGAGTAAAAGAGAGAGTGGGGGCAGCAGCATATAGATTGGATCTACCTCCAACCTGCCTTATTCATCCAGTGTTTCATATATCACTGTTGAAGAAGGCCATTTCTGTGTCTGATCATGTACAACCTCTCCCACCAATGCTCACAGCAGAATTAGAGTTACAAGTCACCCCTTCTGAGGTACTGCAATGGCGGAAGACTGCTGCAGGCTCTATTGAAGTGTTGATCCACTGGACTGACTTACCTTCCTTTGAAGATTCATGGGAGGATTCCTTTTTTTTGGATAAACAATTTCCCTCATTCAACCTTGAGGACAAGGTGCGTAAATTGGGGGAGAGTATTGATACAACTCCACCAAAGTTCTTGGCTTACCGTAGGAAGCGTTTCAGAGGATTACATTCTATATGCAAGGTAAATGAGGCTGTTAGTGCTGAGGCTATGAATGCTGACCTGTCCAATGGTGAGGCTGTGAACACTGACCTGTCCAATGCTGAGTCACCACCAAGTGAGGAGAAGGAAATGGATGCTGAATCACAGCCAGGGGAGGAAAGTGGTACCCAAAAATGGTTGGAAGAAAGAGAATAAGAAGAGAAGAACGAAGGGAAGAAGGCATCTTTGGACAAATGGAAATTCTGGACTCTTGGGAGAGATCAGGGGCTCTCCAACTCCTCTGAAATTATCTTTTGTTTTCCTTTATTACTGTAATTGGTGATTGTTAAATTGTCTCTAAGAGTAGTGTCTCTGGAGCTAGTTTAAATTTCCAGTATATTGTTTGTAATTGAATCTGCGTTTATACATTTCTCAGTACAGAAAGTTGAAAATAGATTTACAATTACTGTTTACACACTCTTCTTGATTTTAAACATTACAAGTGTTACACATTCTTTACAACAAGCAATATAAAAACACAAATAACTAGTACCTCTTGCCGAGCTAAATGATCAAGATCATTAGAGGAGCATGGCCACAGGTCCATGAAACTGTACCGTGATACAACATCTTGCAGAGAACTCTCTAATGCTGCTATTCCATCTTCACCTGCTCCGGAAAGTGCTTCTTTCCTTCTTTGCTCAACCTACAGATGATACAAGAACAAATGATCAAAGTGGGTTACTCCCTGTCCAGTCTATTCTATTGCCATAAGCAACTACAGGATTGCACTTTACAAAGTTATTTTTAAAAACTAACATATTATGATTGACATTATTCTAATAGCATTTTCTTGCCATCCCTCATGATCTTGTTTCTAGATATTGTAGCCGAAAATCAAAGTCTATCTTGTTAAAGAATGGCATAGAAATTTTGTTAGTTCCAGTTACAGAGCATTTACTTGACAAAAAATAGAAAGAAAAAAGTAAGTTTCATTCTGTCAAATGATTTCCAGCCTTTACTAAAGCAATCACAACGCAAACAGCTCGACAGTGGGATGTTTGGCCAGCATCCCATTCCATCAATGTCAACCAATCACTAATCCAATCAAAACAGACAGCATACAGATCATCTTATCCCAATATTTTACCTCAAGGCTATTGTTTCAAACGATTAGGGGTTACAGAAAAATAACAATTTGATATGCATAAACGAGAGCATGGCACAAAAGAAACAACCAGAGATAGCAAGGTAAATGCTGTATAAAAACAAATTTGAAGCTACTACCTTCAGCATGCTAGCAAGATCCCCATAAGTTTGCTCAAACTGAGTGAACTTTTTCCAGACCTACAGATGAGAGTGGTTATAACTAAATTGAATATCAACAAACAACACCAACTAAACATGCTTGATGCTTTCTACACCATTGATGAGACATTACACATTTTGTCTTAAAAAATACCGTGTAAAATTCTATCCAAAAAATTGTAAAACCAAGCTCATCTCTTCAAGCAGTTCAAGCGGCACAAAATATATCAATGTAAAACAAAAACAACCTAGAAGAAAGTAGAAACTCAATAAAGAAAATATAACAAAATCCTGATGTTAGAGAAATCTAAATTTCCATCCAAACTAAAGTACATTAACACGGCCTACAATATAATGTGTAATTTATTCCTCGCGATTCTACCCAAGGAATTGTTTAACATTGTACGGCCTCTTATCCATATATGCTAAAACTAACAAAAGGGGGTTTTACCACAAAGTTTTAAATTTCCATTCCGTTGACTGTAATTTGGAACTTCTTTTTCTCTATAAGTGAAGGGACTTATTTTGAAGAGTTTACAAGAAGGAACTAATTCATCTCAGGCTGACAAAAATTAAAACCCACTTACATTAGTCAGTTTAAGAAAGCTGCGAAGAGTGACATTCTGCATTATATTAGTTTCTGGGGTTTCTAGTAAAGAGGTACTTGCCTTTTAAGAAACATGGTAAATTTAAACCTTCCTAAAATTAGCTATACATTACCATTTTATGAGATACAGAATTGTGATTAAAGTAAAGGGGGAAAATCCTAAATCACTCCTTAAGAAGATTTACCAAGGAGGGATTAGATGGAGTGATGAAACAATTACTAGCATTCAAACAATTATTTTACACAAGGGGAACAAACATGACTTGAGTATCTAGTGCATTTGAGGAAGAGTTTTTATAAGTCCAAGCACATATTGGTGTACACACACTCAGTTTAATATATTGTTAGATTAAGGATAAAATCTTGCATCATGTACCTGTTCTCAAAATGGAACATAACCTTGATGTTGTTAATTAATAATTATTAAAGGTCCAGGAATTTTTAAAAGAACAGGGTAACAGGAAGTGGGGCCTACCTCAACTGATTCCTCAGGTGGAAGTGAACTTAATGCCCTCTCAAATAAAGCGCGTATATTTTGGTCATCATTCAAACGTGTCAAGAAATCAGCATATCTGAAACATCATGAAAACATTCTTAATGGTTGATTAATATTCTTTTGGTAAGAAAAGAATTACAACAAAAGTACAACTTGTCAGAGTATAATATACCCTCTAAAACAGAAAGTAAGATAAAGAAGCAGTATAAGCTTAAAAAACTAATACATTTTTGGGAAGGGGTGTGTTGACAACACTTGAAGTTTAGAGAGTATACCAAATAAGATGAAATTGTGTTTGTGTGACAATCTACACATAGCCTCTATATATTAATGAGTATTAATTACTGTTGGAAAAAAATATCTTTAGAATATCTTTATTATTTGTAAAGATCTATTTCCTTATTTCATTAGGATTTAGGTTAGGTATGGGCTAAGCTCATTAGTGTTTCTTTATATATTGTACTCTCCTAAATCCAATTTATACAGATCTATTTCAATGTTCCTCTCGTCTCTTGTTATTTTACATGGTATTAGAGCTTTAGTGAACACAGGGTCACAAGTTTGGTCCTCAAAGCCCTCCACTTTCGAGTGGAATTAAAATAAGCATAAGGTAAACTAAAAAAATTGGGCCTATGCAATATCTACACTTCAAGTACAAAGGGCTCTTGTGTGAGGGGAGTGTTGGAGAATAAATATAAATCATTAATACAAATCTTGTTTCTTCAGGCTATGATTTCTTCTTCTTCGGTGATTTATTGTTTTTATTTTGATTTTCTTTTATGGCTTGTATTCGGCCAATTTTATTTTATTCCCACATTAATACAAATCTTGCTTCTTCCGGCTATGTTTTCTTCTTCTTCTATGATTTTTTGTTTTTATTTTGATTTTCTTTTATGGCTTGTATTTGGCCAATTTTATTTTATTCCCACATATGTTTGTGGTGTTATTCAAGTCTGATTTAGCTTGTATTTGATTTATTTTTGCTATTGTTTGGCTTTATTTTGGCCTCCCGTTCAGGAGGAGCATTTATCTCCGTTGTTGCTTAGTCCGCGGATTATTCCAGTTACACTGGCTCCGTCGGCTTATATTCCAATTGCAACATTGTCTTTTTCCCAACCCTTCCTTGGCTGATGTCTTTTTCTTCCTTTGCTGATGTCCATTCCAGCACCGTCTCTTTACTAGCTCTTCAAACTGATGGTCATTCCAGTTGATTTGATGTCGATTTCTCCGACTTACATTCCATGAAGCGTTGTTTTAGTTTTCTTTCTTCCCAAGTTAAAGTGTCCCTCCATCTTGAGGGAGAGTAATATAGATAATATTTTATTTTAGTTTATTATTGTTAGAATATTAGATATGATATGATTAGATTTGATTAGATATGATTGGATTCTGTCTTATCCGTAAATAGTCTGACTGTATTAGGATTAGGTTTGGATTAGGTTTGGGCCTTACACTTAAGCCCATTAGGGTCTCTATATATTGTAACTCCTTGACACAGATCAATACACAACGTATTCTTTTACATTTAACTTGGTATCAGAGCTCTTTCGTTCTAGGAACCCTCGCTTCCGCTCAGAAACCTTGTTTTTTTTTTTGCTTTAAAAACCTAAGCCCACTGCTTAGGAGTCCTCTTTCTTGCCGTGCGTCCTTCCGGCAAGCCTTCTAGGGCTGTAAACAGCCTCTGAGGGATTTTTCCAAACGTGTCAGCACCTCCGACGGCCACCGGAACCACCGCCCGCCGTCAGAATCACTGTTCAGGCAACCGGAGACTTTTTCCGGCGACTTTTCCGACCAAACTTCACGCGATCAGGACCCTTTCTTCCCGGCGACCAGGTCTGTGGTGGTCCGGTCAGCAACGCATCTCCCACGCGCCGTCACGCGCCACCTGTCTTCACTGCGCGTGGGCTTCACGCACCACCTTCTGCCGGCGCGTGAGCACTATTCCGGCGGCTTTTTCCGGCCGGTCTAGGACAGAGAAGCTCGCCTTCTCCTCCCCTTTCTGGATCTGTGATTGTTTCTTTGTGGGTCTGACCTTAGACGCGTGGTTCTTCTTGATTGGATATCGTTTGCCTTCGTTTACGGCTTTTATATTTTATCTTTAAATGACAGCAGCATCTCCTGATCTCTCGGAGGTTAACTCTCCTTCTATTGTTGCAAATATAGCTCAGTCAGACAAAGCATCATTTGGTTCAGGTTCGGACTGTGCTGCACTCCAAACCCCTCTCAGGAAGGCTTCTCCTCAGTCCAAGCCTTATACTGGTAATCCCGTTGCTTGTGTTTCTCATTCTACATCACTTGGCACTTGGATATTTGACTCCGGTGCTACCGATCATCTCTGTGGTAATAAGGAACTCTTTACATCTCTTACTTATTCTGATCATTTACCGTCTTTTACCCTTGCGGATGGAACCAAAGCCCCAGTTTGTGGGATTGGACAAGCTCGTCCGACCTCTACCTTGGCCCTGACATCTGTCTATTACATTCCTGGCATCCTTTATAACTTAATTTCTATTAGTAAGTTGATCCACTCCTTCACTTGCACCATTACTTTCTCTAACCATTCTGTTTCTGTGCAGGATCCGGGTACGGGGAAAATGATTGGAGTGGGTCGTGAGTCACGGGGGCTTTATTATCTGGATGTGCCTCGTCCTTCAGTAGCATGCTCTCTCACAGAATCTCCACAACTTATCCACAGTCGCCTTGGTCATCCAAGTCTTTCAAAGTTGCAGAAAATGGTTCCTCTTTTGTCCGGTCTTCAGTCTTTAGATTGTGTGTCATGTCAACAAGGGAAGCATACACGCTCCTCTTTTGCCAGTCGAGTCAATAAACGAGCTGATGCCCCTTTCTCTCTTGTTCATTCAGATATCTGGGGTCCAAGTCGTACCTTGTCTGTCTTAGGTTTTCGGTATTTCGTTACCTTTATTGATGATTTTTCCCGTTGCACTTGGACCTATTTAATGAAAAATCGTTCTGAGTTATTTTCCATTTATAAAAAGTTTTCTACTGAGATCCATACTCAATTTGGTGTTTCTATTCGTATTCTACGTAGTGATAATGCTAAGGAATATGTTTCTATTGATTTTTCTAATTTCTTGGCCACACAAGGTACTTTACATCAAACTACTTGTCCTCACACTCCACAACAAAATGGGGTGGCTGAACGTAAAAACAGACATCTCATTGAAACTGCCCGTACCCTTCTTATTCATATGCAGATTCCTCTTCACTTCTGGGCAGATGCTGTACTCATCTCTTGTTTTCTCATCAATCGCATGCCTTCATCTGTGCTCCACAATGACATTCCTCATAATCTATTGCTTCCAGATGTTCCTCTTTATCCTCTAACTCCACATGTCTTTGGTTGTACTTGTTTTGTTCATGATCTCACTCCTGGTAAGGATAAGTTAACATCCAAAGCCTTTCAGTGTATCTTTCTTGGTTATTCTCGTCTTCAAAAGGGTTATCGTTGTTATTCTCCCGACCTTAAGCGTTACTTAGTTTCCGCTGATGTCACTTTTCTTGATCAACAACCCTTTAATTCTATCCCACCTCAGATGTCACAGGTTGATCATGTACTTCCTGTCCCTTTTCTTGACTTGTCTTTGCCAGCTGCAGGTGCTTCTATTCCAGATGAGCAACCTATTGCTTCTATACCTGAGGACCGTCCACTTCTCACCTATCAGCGTCGCAAAACTGTGCCTCCTGTCGACTCGACTCTTGCTGACTCATCGCCCACTGTTGTTGCTTCTTCCCCTCCGGATCCTTCATCAGAGACTCTTCCCATTGCTCAAAGAAAAGGTACACGTACTACTCGTAACCCTTATCTTCTTTATACCTTTTTGAGTTATGACCGTCTTTCTTCACCTCATTTCACCTTTGTTTCTAGTCTTTCTTCTATTTCTATTCCTAAGACCACAGGTGAAGCACTTTCCCATCCAGGGTGGCGCCAAGCAATGTTTGATGAGATGACTGCACTTCATTCCAATGGCACTTGGGACCTTGTTTCTGCTCCTCCAGATAAGTCTATAGTTGGTTGTCGCTGGGTTTTTACTGTGAAAGTTGGACCTGATGGCCATATTGATCGTCTCAAGGCACGTTTAGTTGCCAAGGGTTTTACTCAAATCTTTGGCCTTGATTATAGCGATACATTTTCTCCGGTCGCTAAGATGGCGTCAGTCCGCCTCTTTCTTGCCCTTGCTGCTGTTCGTCACTGGCCACTCCTTCAACTTGACATCAAAAATGCCTTTCTTCATGGTGATTTACAAGAAGAAGTTTACATGGAGCAACCACCTGGTTTTGTTGCTCAGGGGGAGTCTGGAAAGGTGTGTCGTCTTCGGAAATCCTTATATGGTCTCAAGCAGTCTCCTCGAGCATGGTTCAGTCGTTTCAGTTCTGCTGTTCAGGCGTTTGGCTTAATCCGCAGTAAAGTTGACCATTCTGTGTTTTATAGGATTACATCTCCTGATAAGTGTATCTATTTGTTAGTCTATGTTGACGACATCATTCTCACTGGAAGTGATCAAGACGGAATTCGTCAGTTAAAACAGCATTTGTTTAGTACATTTCAAACAAAGGACCTTGGGAAGCTGCGTTACTTCTTGGGAATTGAGGTGGCGCAATCAAGACAGGGCATTTCTATCTGTCAAAGGAAATATGCCTTGGATGTCCTAGAAGAAACTGGTATGTTGGGGAGTAAACCAGTTGATACACCTATGGATCCTAATGTCAAGTTATTACCCGGACAGGGGGAGCCGTTATCTGATCCTGGACGTTATCGGAGGCTAATTGGGAAGCTCAATTATCTTACTGTGACTAGGCCAGATATTTCTTTCGTTGTCAGTACGGCCAGTCAGTTCCTTGATTCCCCTTGTGATTCACATTGGGATGCTGCTGTGAGGATCCTCCGATACATCAAAGGAGCACCAGGAAAAGGTTTGTTGTATTCGGATCAGGGAAATACAGAAATTTGTGGTTACTCAGATGCCGATTGGGCAGGATCACCCTCGGACAGACGCTCTACTTCTGGTTATTGTGTCTTCTTCGGAGGAAACTTAATCTCATGGAAAAGCAAGAAACAACCTGTTGTTTCCCGATCTAGTGCAGAAGCTGAGTATCGTGCAATGGCAAATACTACCTGTGAGTTGATCTGGTTAAAGCAGTTGATTCAGGAGCTTCATCTTTGTGAACAGAAACAACCCATGACACTCATCTGTGATAATCAAGCTGCGCTACATATATCCTCTAATCCTGTTTTTCATGAGAGGACCAAACACATAGAGATTGATTGTCACTTCATTCGGGAAAAGATTCAGTCAGGAGAAATCAAGACAGCTTTTGTCAACTCGTCTAATCAACTAGCAGATGTTTTCACTAAAGCTCTTAGAGGTCCTCGGGTTGAATACATTTGTAACAAGCTTGGTGCTCATAATATATACGCACCAGCTTGAGGGGGAGTGTTAGAATATTAGATATGATATGATTAGATTTGATTAGATATGTCTTATCCGTAAATAGTCTGACTGTATTCTGACTGTATTAGGATTAGGTTTGGATTAGGTTTGGGCCTTACACTTAAGCCCATTAGGGTCTCTATATATTGTAACTCATTGACACAGATCAATACACAACGTATTCTTTTACATTTAACTATTATGTTTGTTATTTTTCTTTAGGGTGAGTTGTAGAATTGTTACAACCCCCACTCATTTATTTTGATGTTATGTTTCTTAGTCTTTCTTGTTCAAGCTTGTTGCTTATGATCTATACGCTCCAGATTGAGGGGGAGTGTTGGAAAGAATATTTTTATTATTTGTAAAGATCTATTTCCTTATTTCATTAGGATTTAGGTTAGGTATGGGCTAAGCCCATTAATGTTTCTTTATATATTGTACTCTCCTGAATCAATTCAATATACAGATTTATTTCAATGTTCCTCTCGTCTGTTGTTATTTTACAATTACAATGATTCAATCCATAATATATATTATCCTGATTTGGCTCCTAATTGGTTCTACAGTATATAATGATATCTTACCATAAACATTTATGATACTCTAACATACTCTGACACACCCTCTCAAGTTGGTTTATATATATCATATATGCCAAGCTTGTCACATATATAGTTGACTTGGGGGAACCTTAGTGAACATGTTTTGGATGCATGCACAAAGAAATAGGGAAAACCCAGTTTATGGCTTTTATGTAACCTACAACGATGAACTATTAAGTAAATAAAAGGCGTGCATCAAGAGAGAAAAGCAGAACAAGAGTTATCAGAATTAGGAGGAAGGTATAACTCACTCAAGAATGTAAACAGGCTCATGCATAAAGCGTTTTAGTCCTGCTTCAAAAATATTATGAGCCATCTGCATGATAATCCAATAAAGCAATCATATTTATTATTAGTCATGTGTTGAGACACGGTTTATTTGCTAGAAGTTAAATCTTTAAATATAAAACGCCAAGGATATCAATGGTTTCAGCTAATCCCATGAAGGAAACTGTTGGCAATGTTTCCTTATTGTAAGAAAATTACTTCATTATGAGGCCCGATTGCATTGACAACTGAGTCATTCTTTCACAATTTATACATACCTACAAACATGTACGCTTGCATACATGTACATCAACATATTCAACCACTCCCAAAAAAAAAAAAAAAATCCAGGAATATATCCAGCAAAACAATTATTATTAAGCATGTGATTCTGTAGGATATATAGTCTAGAGAGAGAGAGAGAGAGAGAAGTAAATAGTAGGACCTTTGGATCCTTGTCAAGACAAAAGGCCAATGTAGCATACGCGACATAAACATGATATGTACAACTTGAGGATTTGCGAGCATCCAAAAAGTACTTCCTAGCAGCTTCAACACCTTCCGTTCTTCTTAGAAAACGAATGAACTGTAGCATGAAAAAGATGTCACATCTTTTGCAAAGAAATTCATCACAAGCATTAAAATGAACTGCACATGTCACTTAACATTCTCAACATCAACATCACATTCACCCCAAATTAGTTGGGATCAGCTCACTTAGCAATCTCAATGAGGGAAAATTATAGCATAGGGAACATCAACATCAACATCAACAACACCTTTATCCCAAATTAATTGGGGTCGGTGGTAGATGAACCCACATGAAAGATACAAAATTATAGCATAGGGAAAAAAAGAAAAAATTATTACAAACATACAACTTCCATGAATGAACATATATGAGGATTAAAGGCATGCGAGTGGAATCCACCAGCAAATACAAATAAACATATGGACAACTATAAACTTTCAGAAAATAAGACCAGCTGACCAAGAATTTGAACTGGCAAAATATTCAAATTTCAGATCATGCCATGCAGCTGTACTTTAAGAATTGTTCAATGATTTTCAAAACTTAATATCAAAAGACAACCGATGAATATATATATCCACATCCCAAGTATCCAAAACAACTATTAAGCACTAAAAGCATTAGCAAACTACGTCACATACTTGAATATGTGCAAGTGCCGTTGCACTGGCACCATCTCCCAACAGGCCTTCATAAATTTTCTTTGCAGCCTGACATAAAACAAGACAAGAATAAAATAGAAATAATTAAAGATTAAAAAAACCAACAAAGACAAGAAATGTTGGAGCATATGTCCAACATGTCATACCTGAATTGCTCCACGAGACTCCTCCAGCTCTGCATAAGCATATCGTAGCATTTCCGAATCTGCTCGCAAATGAAATGAGAGAGTAAAGAGAAGAAAGACAAAGACAAGCATGATAGAGTCAAGTTATACGTAGTGCATAATTAGGAGCCACACTACACTCTATCAATGGGTAACAATGGAGCCTTAGCCGATATAAAGTCTATACCAGAGATCAAGACAAGCTAACACAAGAAAAGCTTTCACACTCAAGGATATCTATCCAAAAAAGAGATCTGAATGTAATACCCTAATTTTGTATATAATTCCATACTTTTAACAACATTTTTCTTTATCATGTCTGGACCTGGTGTATGTGTATTGCATGATTTTATGGTTCGAAAAGAGTGCATGTTACAAACATATCAAGAGTGAAGTTGTCTAAGACGCAAGGTTCAAGAAAATGTTGTGAATACAAAGACATGCAGGCACTAACAAAATATCTGAAAATTTAGCAGAAGAAAAGAAGGAAAAGTGTTACAAACCAGGAAGAGCCTTCAGAGACCTTTGAAATACTTTGATTGCAGCATCTATTGAACCACCTTTTGCATGCCATGTAGCATAGTCATACCATATATCAGGATAATGGTACATGTACATCAGACACTGTATACCAGTATAACGCAGTGAGAATTTCCATAAAGAACAAATAAATATCACCAAAGTAAAACACAAGGTTAATGATGTTATTAATTCCATATCTAAACAAGGAACAGAAATATTTTTCTTTAAATGAATAGAGTAACTATTATTTAAGTTCAATGAAAATGAATCCTCTTGACATATTTCTCTGAACGATAAAGGTTCTTAATGAATGTGTTCTTTTTCTTAGAAGCAAGCTGTGAATATAATTAGAAAATAAATTGTTAGCCTTGATCCAAAAGGTGAAACATGTCTTATAAGTTCTAGGCTCCACATATTGCCATTGCAGAGCAAACAGTTGGTAATCAAACTTCTCCTACTGACTTTGATTTTCTAAGGGAATATTAGATGTTGACTTTTCAATGTGATTAGAGAGACCCTAACCTAGAAACAAAATTTCAACCAAGGCTGACCAAGCCAAATAAATATGATAGGAGTCAAGCGAAAGGAAATACGTAATTGATGAATTACAGTGACAGAAAGTTAGAAAATAGCAAGAAAATATAGATAATCCTAGAGCTTTAGAAAGGCTCTAGTCTCTCCCATTTCTCCCTACTATTCTGGATACCCCCTAGCACACTCACTTCTCTCTCTTTATCCCCTCTCACCCATAACAACCTCTCCTACAATATTCCCAATCATTCAGCCTGGTATTATTTAGGGAAGTGATCCCCTGCTACAGCTTCTATGGTACATCTGCACCAAGAGAGGTTTCCAAAGTAATAGGAACACTACAAGATGAATATTTTGCAGAAGATGAACAGGGACCTTCATGTTCAGAATAAGAGGTACTACTTGGGATTGAAGTCATTCTTGCTTAAAGGAACAGTTGTGAAGGGATTGGCACCAGCAGCAAGCAGCACATGATGAACCCACGCAAACAGCAATAGAGATGCGTTAACATGCTTATCAACAACCCACTACTAAAACAAACTAGATCTAGGCTTCTGACAATCAAGACAGGACAACCAGCAAGTAAAATGGGACAGATGGTATAACAAGTGGACCAAGGGAAGGGGGCATGCGAGCTGCACATGAAAACAGGGTAACTATGCATTGGGGCCGTTACAATGTCTCTATCAACGGCACTTAGAGTGATGGCTGGTTGGAGGATTCTAGACTGTGTCACACCTTCACTTGGCCAATTTGGACAGGAGATCCAGCCTTGACATCGGCTTGAAGGACAGAATTTTATTTGTTTTTATTTTTTATTTTTATTTATTTATTTATTAATTTATTTTTTTGTTTGGGGGGGGGGGGGGGGGTTGGTTTGGTTCAAGCCCACATCATGCAAACTATGATACCAACTTGAGATGGGCGAGAAGATTTGTGAATTGCTTGAGGAAATCCTTAGCATGATTCATTATATTAAATGATTTACAATATCTAATATTAGGAAACCAGGAATTCGGAAAACAAGTCAAATCCTAATTATTTACAAAAGAAAAATATAAAGCCCAATAAACTTTCCTTGAATTGGAGATACTTTCCAACCAATATAAATGTACATGATACATGTAAACTGCTACGATCTAATTGTAAGGTATGGGACTTGGAATCCATATCGGAACATAAGGTTCTGGTGTGGGGTTTATATAGACCTTAGGTTCTGGTGTGGGGTGTATATAGACCTTAGGCTCTCCTACCTTACAAGATAGCTTTTGGGGTGAGGCTCTTCTAAGGTTCCTATCAATTGGTATCAAAACTTCTACTATGTCTTCCAGTTGCAATCAAACGGAACGACTAGTGACGTTAGTATTGCATTGTTCGCCCAAGGCTACTAAAAAACTAGCGCCAAGCCAGGCCGCGTGGGCGCCAGGACTGCGAAATCAAGTTGTAAGGTATAGGACTTGAAGTCCCACATCGAAAACATAAGGTTCTAATGTCGGGTTTATATGAATTTTAGGCTCTCCTACCTTACAAGCTAGTTTTTGAGGTGAGACTTTCCCAAGGTTCGTATCATAAACAAGCCCCAAAGAATTCATAAAACCAACCAATAACTCCATAAATGAGCACCAGAGGAATAAAGTAGAATTAGCACTTAAGATGTATATTCCAACATGTAGTCACCACAACTACCCTACCCAAATTAAGATGATGATAAATGTTTCAAATTGCCTCTTAAAACTAGATATGTACAATGAGGAAAAATATATTTGCAGACTGAAAAAAGTTATTTGATTCATAACATTTTGTAGCAGCTAAGTAGTGATTCTAGTTCTTGTAGACAATGTACCCTCCGGCAACTTCATAAATATTATATATTCATTATTTGAAAACAAACTAGTCAAAGGGCTACAGAAATATACAAATAACATGATCTGATGTGACAAGAACAAGGCTTATTATCAGCGATGTAAGCAATCATAAGACAGCATCTTGGACCAAGTTAGGATCATGGACAGGCCTAGGGTGAGCATTCTTCTATTTTGCAATGATTACATCCTTCAGAATGCAAAACAAAACTCTTTGACAAAACACAAACACAAACACACGCACATACACAGAACAGACAAATAAAGAAAGAAATAGGGTCGCACTTCCCTAACCCCAAACAGAAGAAATAGGGTCGCACTTCCCTAACCCCAAACAGAAATTAGAAGACAGACACAGAGAGAGCAAACGACTCAAGAAAGAAATAGATTCACACTTCCCTAACCCCAAACAGAAAGTAGCCTCTTCTATTAAAAAGTAATTCAAACAATATTAAAAAAAAATTATTGAAAAATTATCTACGGGCAGGAGTGCAAGTGGCTGGTAGGATAGAATTCCCCTAAGAAATATTCTACGAGAACATAATTTTTTATCCATATTATAGAGAAATTGATACTATTAAAGGGATAAAAATAAAATTAAAGAGAAATAAAATATTTTTTCTTCTAGTACCTGCTCATAAGTAAATACAACTCGTTTGTTGGAGGAAGCAGTATCTATTCTCTGTGGATTTCCTCTGAAATGCAGAATGGTTAAATTAAATTAAAAATATTTACTAAATGTCATCACATAAATCAGAAACAGGCTATGAAGACATGATCATAAGCGATACTATATGCATCTAATAGTTATTTCAAAATGATAAGTTTGGTCAAAGACCAATGCTCCTAAAAACTTAAACTGTTAGATATAGTCTCAAGATTGGTTTAATATCTCTATTGCCGAACAAATTCTATTTAGAATATTGGATTAAGAGTATAGAAATGAAATAATAAAAACCATAATGTTAGAATCTTGGATTTAAGCTTTTTCAGAGAATTGGTCTTTGAAATGGTTTCAGAGCCTCTAATGTCCAAGTCTTCAATCATTGTCTCCCCATTCTTCATAACTAAATTAAATTTCAGGATAAGGTAAAGTAAACCTTTGCATGGTCCTCACTTCAAGTCTAAAGGCTCTTGCGTCAATGGCTGTTAGGAATATAAAAAACATTGATGGGTCTCTACTTGATTTTAAACAGCTGATTTTATATATTCACAAAAATTCTTTTAAATCTGGTTTTGCAAAAGGGGTCAGGAAATTAAATAGATGTTTTGAGTTGGTATTTTCCTTTTCCCAATTTTCCATTTTACTCCTCTATACTGCAGTTGAAGAAAACATGCATTTGGCAATAAAGGTTTTCATGAAAGGAAAAACGTTTGTCATTTTAAAAGACACAAATTTGTATCAATTTAAGTGAAACAACCGTATTTTGATGCATATTTGTTGGTTTTTTACATCTCTCCTCCAAAATACTCTCTTTTTCTCTCCCCTCCTAATTTTGTAGAGGAGAGAATGTAAAAGACCCACAAATATATACCAAAACAAGGACGTTTTATTTAAATTGACACAAAAATGTGTCCTATAAAATAACAAATGCTTTCCCCTTTCTTGAAATACTATTCCCAAGACCATTTAAAGAATAAAGAATTCCAGCTTGAATTACACATTACATTTAAAAACAAAAAAAGGCTCCTACAAAATTCATCAAAACTTGAACTGATTTCATCCTAGATATAACATAGGGTCTTCATGAAAGTTGACAACTGCTGCACATTACATGCTGCTCCTGCGTTCATAAAGGTGCGGGCATAAAACCATGGGCATGCACCAATAGATACACACACCATGACAAATCCTTTAAGTATATAAAATACATAAATCAAGACTTTGCCTACATTGCTTCATCAGTTTGATGAAATATAAAGCAGCAAAGACCTATAGCAAAATTTATTATAGAAAATGCACATATAAATGTCTCTAAATGCATCAATAGTTATACGAAAAAAAAAAAATTTATTATTATTATTTTTTTAAAAAGGATGCATGCTACTTACTTTTCAAAAGATAAAAGTCTCTTCCACGCTATCCATTGTGTTTCTTCCTGTCAGAAGCAACAAACAAATAAAACTTATCATGGTGTTATAGATGGTATATACCTACCTATTCATGTGCCTTCACCTAATAGCTAAAACTTTTAGGATAGTTAATTTCTAACATAGTATCAGAATCTCTATGACCAAGTGATGTAGAGTTCAATCCTTAATGCCTCCCACTTTTCTAAATAAAATTAAACTTCAACACAAGATAAAGAGTGTTTGTGCATTGTCCATGCTTCAAACCCAATGGACTCTTGGGTTAGGGGGCATGATAGAGATATAAAATCATTCATGTGCTTTTATCTAACAATTAAAGCTTTCAATAAGATGCCGATATTTTATTTCAGCTATCACAAATAAGCAAAATGTGCAACGAAACAGAAAGTTGCCTTGTAGGATCCAGTTGATGGTACAGCAAGCATATTCCAATCGATTTCATCAACATACTTCTTCCGTTCCCTGTAAACTGCCCGGGCACTATTATACTTTGGTTGATATTCAGATATCAGTCCTTTAGCCTGCAAAACACCTTATCATCAAATTCAATGCCTTTGGAATATTCTTATCTAATACCATAAAGAACAACTACAGACTCATTAATACAAATTATCAGATTAAGCATGAATTCAAGATCAATATATTACCAATTGACGACTGACAGAATTTTCAAAATTTTCATAGTCCTTCCAAAGTTGTTCAATGTGATGGGTAGGAGTAACAATAGCCTTCTGATAGACTTTCCTCACAGCAGTCATCCGTTGTGATTCTTCTTGAGCATTCATAGCCTGCAAATGAATTTGACCCAAAGAAAATGAAAAGTGATAGCAAATTATGCATAAGAATCGCAAAAAGCAAAAAAGATTAACTAAACAAACCGGCAATGACTTTAGAAAGGATATGTACTCCATCCACACAGGGCCAGATGCTATGTCTGCTCCTGTTAGCACATCATTGTAAATAAGAGTCAATAGGTATATATACATACATAGAAAGAATCACACACATATATTTACTCCATTTTCCTCTAATTAATTTCTGAAAATCTTCAAATGATAATATCAATAACAAGGATGTTAATTTTGAGGGACTTCTTGCCACAAACATTATTGAAAAAGCATGTTATCAGAAGGCTCTGGAGATGTATAAACGTAAACAGACTCCCCACTCAGTTGAAAGACAAAGGCATCGAGATTTCTTTCAATGCAATATGGTAGGGTACATGGATCAGTCCATACCATTAGGCTTTGTCATGAACAACTATCCCAAAAGCTTGTCTATTAGGTTAAGGCACAGGACTCATTTTATATTTAAAATATTCCCTCACGCAAAAACCATTTGGGATTGAAATGTAGACAATGCATAGATCAACCCTACCTTGTGCTGAAATCTAACTTTTATTAGAAGAATAGAGGTAACAATCTAGACCACATGGTTATAAAAGCTTTGATACCACATCATGAACCAATTACCCCAAAAGCTTAAACTGTCGGCTAAAGGCATGTTAAAGATTTTATATCTAACAGACTTCATCATAAAGCAAATTTCCAGTAAAACCACTTAAAAAGGATATTTTTTATTGGTGTCTCCTAATGTTTCCTTAGGTCTTTTCTATACCTATAGGACCAGCTGGTACAACTGTCACATAGACTGTTACATAAGTCCTTCAGTCGAGTATTACACATACTCCTATAATATCCCATTTATTTGGTCTATCTTTTGATTCACTTTTCCCCGCTACGGCCTCAATCAACGAGGCATTCTCATTAAAGTCTAATAGTCTTCTTCTCACATGACCAAAACACCTTAGGTGAGTTTTCATCATCTTCTCCTTGACAGATGCTACTCTAATCCAATATTAACTGAAATACAAAACAAACAGGACAAAGCGAAACAACTTACCAATATAGTTGAGCATAAAATCAAAAGCTTTTCTTGTCTCTTCTTGACCTTCTATCCCCTTCCTGTCATTGACCTTTCTAATAAAACGAATGTAACACCGCCTGTAAAGCAGATATAAGAAAGATGAAAGATTAAAACACAAACAAAAGCAAAAAATTGCTTGCATGTACCACAAGAGAGACCTAATAATCAGTTTATTTCATTCATCTTCACAAGAAAAACAATCTAATACAAATTCAAAATCAAACGTAACGTAGAATAGAGAAGATGACACAGAATATAAGATAAAACAGAAGAGTCTATCATGCAAAAAAGAAAGAAATAACTACAGTACAAAGAATTTCATATCACCTACTAAAAAAATGAGTATTTTAATAAGATCTTCTATAATCTAACTGATTCTGCTACTATCAGCGGATAGTCTAATCCTTCAAGAAACCTTCTCATCCCTACCCCAGCTGCAGTTTCCATGTAAAACATACACTATACACATACACACGCACACCCACATTCACAAGCACATGCCCAGGCAACACTCACGCCCACACCCACACATTACATTCTACACACTATTGATTAAAGGTGGAAAAAAATAAGAGTTCATACATAATAATTGAAAGCATATCATAACGTTAACATAACTAAGATTGAACAAACAATATACCAGAGAGGAATCTGAAGACAATGCAATAAACACCGACTAAAAATCTGTTTGGTAGCATCATCATTATTTGCAGCCATTTGTGCCTCCACATATTGCTTCCAAAACTTAGCCTGGATAAAAGAATCATCAAAAATCAATAATAGAAGCTTCCAAGAGCACTCAAAGCAATAGTTCATCATATCACACAATCAAGAACACTCACAGCGGTTGGAAACAATAACAGAAGCTGCTCGTATATTGGTGTAGCCTCTGCAATAGGCAAATGCTAAACAATAGATAAAAAAGCATGAATGAGCAATGTGAACAAAAGGGTCAAAGAATTGCGAAAGAACAAAAAGATTTGATCTTGGAAACTGGGTTCAAACCTGAGCCTCGTTTGCCAATATTTCAGCTGTTTCAACGTTGTACTTATCAGTCATTGCCTTGTCACCCATACTGGTTTTGTCCTGAAAAAAACAAATAAATAAATAAAATAAAATTCAAGTTTTTAATGCATATCAACACACGGAGGAATCAGCAAAGAGGAGAAAGGTGAGTACCATTGGAAAGAAAGAGGATAGACACAATTAAATGTTCATAGGGTTCAATTTGATGGAGAACAGTTAAAAACCGCGTGGTGAGAGCTAACTAAGATGTTTTAAGATGAAAAATAAAAATTGTTGCAACGAGAAAGGCGAAGCTAAGAGTTTTGTTCATAAAACAACGGTGAAGCACAAAAGATCAATGGGGATTCTCACTTGCCTTGTTTTTAATGAGAATAATGTCTTAGATACACACATTTTCTTTTTTTTTGGCAAAAAAAATTAAAATAATGCATTTAAATTAAATAATTATGCATTTAATGTTGTTTTATAAAAAATTATCCATATACTGCACAATGTGACGCCACTTTGGGACGTCACATGTAACGCCCAAAAGTGGCTTCACATGCGTGCTCTATATATTTTTCCACCCCTCCATTCAATTCACATATCTTCTCTCACTCTTCATATCTCTCTTCTCCACCAACATTCATTTATCTTTAATTTAGTATTTGAATTTTATTTCTTATTCTATTTAAAAATGAGCTCAAATCCTGATTCTGTTCGTGTTGTGTTATATTACAATAGTAAGAAGGTAGAAGGTCGACGAGGTGTCATCTTCGAAAGTGAAAAAAGGCCGACACGTATCCAACGCAACACAACCATCGATCAATGTGAGCCCTCAGCTTACGTCTCCAGTTCTCTTCAATCTTCCCTCGTAGAGTATGATCATGTATTCCTCTCAACTTTCTAGATTTATCTGGGATGGGTTGATCAAGACCGAACTGTCGCATGCACCTATCCGGTTGACATGCCTCTATTGTGTGGAAGTAGATAATAGGTGTGGCAGCAAGCCACAGGTACTGCTGCTATAGAGTCACGTCAAGCCACTTATAATCGATATATGGCTGCCAAACCACCTAAAAAAAAAAAGCGAAACAATATATAGAGTTACAAAAAAAAATAAACCCATAGAGAAATAACAACATCGTAAGTATCCAACACCTAACCTCATCTCTACAGAGTGTGTCCAATGTTGCTCGATAATGGGTCATGTGAAAGGTATGTGTCTCTGGTCTCCACCTCTCGACCAGAGCACTAATTAAAAATGTATCGATCTGTGATAAATTACGCAGTTATCACGTGTTAACGAATTTTATTGAATAATTACATAAATACAAAACGACGTAAATAACATACCTGGATATGTTGCATCCTGGCAACATGTATGAATCCCGCCTGTCTTAGGTACTCTTCGACAACCTGTGGAATAGCACCGGTAGGTGGCCCCCTTGTGGCTTCCCACGCCTGGTCTTAATTTTTCGTACATGCTCTGTATTCCACACTCGCTGTGAAATATGAGCTTTTTGCGTCCTCTTTCGAAGGACCTCCCACCTGTACGGCCCAGGTATGATCCACATGCTGGAATCGTTGGGCTCTACATCCGACTCAGATCCCGATGAAGATGATGACTCAGCCATTATCCTCAACTATATAATATAAAACAACATTTAAATTAATCACATGCAACAACCCATTTTATTTACAATTTAATTAAGCAGTGACATAATTGATTATCACAAAAATTAAGCATATGCGTCATTTATTTAACTAGAATCGAAATTTATGAAGTCCCGCCAAAACGTAGAACAGTTATTTATTTGCAATTAAATAATAATAATACATCGCACAAAAATAATATAATACTAACTGAATACTTAACCCTAGGTCACTACCAACTTGTCCAATACGTACTAATCATCACACCTAACTAACTACAAAGTTATGCATTCCCGCATTAATAACATCGTACATACGAAATTTACGAAGTCCCTAACACTATTTATAAATCACTAATTAATATGCTAAACCCTAATGCATAATTAAAAATTAATAATAATAACTACGTAATAATAAAATTACTATATCATTACAACATTCATAGCATGCCACAAAATTTCTAAGTGACTATCCTAATGTTCTAAGTCTCTAATATACAATCAATCCTAACATGTATTACTAACTAGCACTGTTATTTAAATGTATACATATGAGGTATTATAACCTTACCTACATTGGCAGAGCTTCGCTACGAATCGCGGTTAGTAAGAGGTTAGAGAGGTAAATGAGTAAGGAGTGAAAAAAGAAAAGTGGGGTATATATAGGTTGCACATGAGACGCCCCCTTTGGGCATCACATGTGACGCCCCAATGGGGCGTCTTCTCCAAGGGAGAGACTCCTCACTGGGGCGTCACATTTGACGCCCAAAGGTAGCGTCTCATTGTGCAACAGATGTGTAATTTTTTACAAAACAGCATTAAATGCGTAATTATTTAATTTAAATGCATTATTTTAATTTTTTTGCCCATTTTCTTTATATAACTATTGCATTACTATTAAAATATTTAAATTATAAGATGAAAAAAGTATTTAAAATTATTAAAAAGAAATATGTATAATTAATTTAAGAAAAAATTTAAAATTTAAAATATTTAAATTGGAAATATATATAAATAACTAATTTAAAAAAATTAAACTTAAAAAATTAAGAATTATACATGTCATTCTTTAAACAAAAAATAAATTAGGAAATTTAAGCACTTTCAATAAAATCATTTCTAATTTAATATGTAAACTTAATAATATATAAGTGAATTGTCAATTTTTATCCAATTAACACAACGTCAAAGAGAATTTCATTATCTTCAGAACGCCAACATTGGCATCTATCATTAAATTTAATTTCAAGGATGGTTAAAATAATTTTACTGTAAAGAAGAAAAAAAAAACCTTTATAATTTCATTCTGTTTAAATTTGTCTTCGCAAGTTTTTTTTTTTTTTCTAGAATTTTTACATTTTCATTTTTATGAATTTTTTAGCTTATACTACGAAGTTATAAAAGGCTCATGTCCATAACATAACTAAAAGGCTCATGTTCCCTTTAATTAACATGAAAACCGTTAGATGTTTATCACTAATCAAGTTATTAGTATGTTACACGTTTAATCCCCCCTATGTAAACCAATAGTTTCAAATTCTTAATTCCTGATCCAATTTGTAGTTAATTTTATGCTTTGAGTTTATAATTGTGCTTGTTCTCTCTTGGAGATAAAGATGTCTAGCCCAAAGGATTAATATGTTGATCTTGGATCTAGTGCTCTCTCCAAGACATCTATGGAGGAGATACCCTTAAATCAAGCAGATTACTATGCACAAGAAAATGATAATGGCTTTGTCAAAGGGTGTGTGTGTACGCACAATGACAACATAACAGTAAGAGAGAGAGTGTAACGTACCTGTAGATTTTACCTCTTATTTATAGGGTGTACCTATGGGTAGTAGATTCTGGACCTTTAGTGCCTCTAATGGTGGCCCAGGTCCATTTATCATGCTGTCATATTAGGATTGGTATCCTTGATGGATATCCTTCCGTAATTATGCTTGATTTAAATCTTAGATTGTCCCTTGTTGGGATTGTATATCAATGAGCTCTTTATATGGGTCTATAACAGTTGCCCCTCAGCCAGGCTGCTTGGGTGTCCAGGCTGCCAAGGTGAACTTCTTTTTGTATTAATATGGGGTTTTGTCAAGAATGCCTGGATTCTCGTGAACTCCTTATGCATATATTCTGAGCTTCGAAATTTTTAGAACATGGAATATTGGCTATAGCTTCTTGACATTTATAGGCGGTGGCATCTTGGCTATAGCTTCTACTTTGACTTGGTCAACTTCCAATCCGTTCTTGCAAATTTTATGTCCTAAGACAATTCCTTCTTTCACCACAAAATGGCATTTCTCCCAATTAAGAACGAGATTGGAAGAGAGACACCTTTGTAGTACTTCTTCTAAACTTTTCAAGCAATGATCATATGACGTTCCCAACACTGAGAAATCATCCATAAAAACCTCCACTCCTTCACCTATTAAATCAGAAAAAATAGAGAACATACATCTCTGGAACGTTGCTGGAGCATTGCATAGTCCAAAAGGCATTATTCTAAAGGCAAATTTTCTGTAAGGACAGGTGAAGATGGTTTTATGTTGATCCTCAGATGCTTGAGGAATTTGATTGTATCCTGAATATCCATCAAGAAAACAAAAATATTCCTTACCTGCTACATGATCCAACATCTGATATATGAATGAAAGAGGGAAATGGTCTTTTCTTGTAGCAGCATTGAGCTTCCTGTAGTCTTGGCAAATTCTCCAACCTATGACCTTTCAGACAGGAATGAGTTCATTCTTTGCATTTAGCTCCACAGTTATGCCTCCCTTCTTGGGAACGCATTGATCAGGGCTTACCTAATTGCTATCTGAACTGGGATAAATAATTCCTGCATCAACCATTTAATTACCTCTTTCCTCACCACCTCTTTCATGATGGGATTCAATCCTTTTTGGTGTTCTACTGAAAAACTGTCAGGGTCAGTCAATAAAATTTTATGCATACAAAAAGTGGGACTAATACCTTTGAAGTCAGCTATGGTCCAACCAATAGCTCTCTGATATTTCTTTAGCTTGTTGATCAATAATTCTTCTTGATCTTTGGTCAGGAATGATGAGATGATGACAGGGAGGGTGTTAGCGTTTCCTAAGTATGCATACTTCAGATGTTAGGGAAGTGGCTTCAATTCTAGCTCAGATGGTTGATCTGCAGATGGTCTATTGACTTGTTTTTCCTTTTCTGTACTCTGTAGAGGTTCAGGTGTTCTCCCTTGCAAATAAGGCTCATGCTTTTCATCTTGCAAACTTTCCTCTTCTTCTGATTCTTCTTCACTTGGCTTTAGGTTGAGGTGGGTATCCAGAATAGATACCATAGAACATTCTTCTAGATCTCCTTCATCATCATGAAACTTCATGGCTTTTAGAACATTGAATTTAATTTCATCATCACGAGCTCTCATGGTGAGCTCCCCTTTTTGTACATTGATAACAGCTCCTCTAGTTGCAAGGAACGATCTTCCCAAAATGATGGGAACGTCAACATCAGCTTCATAATCTAAGATGATGAAGTCAGCAGGAAAAATGAATTTATCCACTTTGACCAGCAAATACTCTACTTTCCCTTCTGACTTAATAATGGATCTGTCAGCCATTTACAATGTTACAGTGGTAGGTTTTGCTTGGCCTGTGGCAAGTTATTTAAAAACTGATGAGGGCATCAAATTGATACTCGCTCCCAAATCACACAAGGCTTTGCCTTGGTAATTGTTTCCTATGATACAAGGGACGGTGAAACTCCCATGGTCTTGTAACTTAGGTGGAAGTTTGCCAAGTATTTGCAGTTTTCTTATGTTAAGGTTATAGTTTCATATTCTTCCATACGTCTCTTTTTAGAGAGAACGTCTTTCATCAACTTGACATATTTGGGCATTTGTTCCAAAGCTTCCACCAGAGGGATATTAATATGAAGTTGCTTCAGGATACTCAAAAGTTTACAAAATTGTTTGTCATCCTGTTGCTTCTTCATTCTTTAAGGGAATGGAACTGTGGGCTTAGCTGCCTGGCCTGTTTTAGCTTGAGCTTTCTCATCAGACACAGTTTGTTCCTCACGTCCTTGGTTTTCTGTATTTGGGTCAACTGCACCCTCTTATTGTTGTTCATGATGTGAGACTTCTGGTGATACTCCAGGTGGGTTGTCAGGCTCCTTCACAGTTCTTTTGGTTGTCACCTTGGAAGTGTTTGAGGGTTGTTTGGCAACTCTCCTACTCCTCAAGGTTATTGCTTTTATTTGCTTTAGGGAGGAGGTTGAAGGAATTTCAGTATCCCCTGGCAATTTGCTTAGTGCCCTTGTGCTGAGGGTTGCAGCTATCTGGCCCATATGGGACTCAATATTTCTAACAATTGCATTGTTCCTTGTGACATATTTCTTCACATAATTCTCCAAAGAACTGATGCGTTGTTCATCTTTGGGGAACAGAGCATTATTTGGTCTCCTGTGTTGATCAAATGCTCCATTTCCCCCAGTGTTGTTTTGCTGGGACTGTTATTATTGGTTGTTGTATGGTCTAGGATTGATGGGTGGTCTCCACTGAGGATTGTGGTTCTGATCTTTCTGGATAGTGCCTCCATAATTCTGGTTGCTACTGCGGCCTGCATATTGGTTGTCTCTGGTCTGATTGAAGTTTCTACCTCCAAAATGTTCTGCATAACACACCAGGACTGTTGAAGGACAATATGTTGAGTCATGATTGTCACCACATGTTGAGTATGGATCACTTTTTGGGGCTGTGAGTTGTAACATATTGGCTTTAAGCTGATTTTTGTCAGCTTTTAAACTCTTCACTTCATTCATCAGGGCAACTAGTTGAGCTTCTGTGACAGTTTGTTTATCTAACTCCAACATTCCTGGTTTTCTGACTAGGCTCATCCTTTCTCACGGCCATTGAAGACAATGTTCCCCAGTACTTTCTATGATCTCATAATGAGATTTAAGGGTTCCTGAAAAGAAATAACCTCCTGCAGCAAAATCCTAATGTGATTGAGAAGTATAGTCTATACCTTTATAGAAAGTTTGTAAAACTCCCCTTTTTTCTACCCCATGGTTAGGACATTTTTTGATAATGTCCTTGTATCTTTCCCATGCTTCATAGAGATTTTCTCCATAAAACATTCTAAAGCTAGAGATTTCTGTTCTTACATCAGCTTGACAGGACATAGGGAGGAACCTTTCTATGAACTTATTAGAAAACTCTTCCCACGAATGTATGGATCCAGGGGTAAGGGATTTCATCCAAGCTTTAGCTTTTGACCCTAGAGAATAAGGGAACAACCTCATTCTCATACTTTCTTCTGACACTCCCTCTGTTCTAAAATTATCACATATATCTTAGAAATTATTAAGGTGAGTATGGATCTTTTGCATGAAATCCATTGAAAATTTTAGCTTCCCTAATCATATTGAACATGATAGGTTTCAGCTTGAAATTAAGAGCTTCAACAGGAGGGAGAACCACTCCTCTTTCTGGTCTGTTCCTTGAAGGAGAAGCCAGTGCACTAAAATTCTGTTCATGAGGAATTTCTTCATTGTTGTGATTATTATGACCAGCCATTTCTAGTTCAAAATTATTTTCCCTTAATTCTCTTCTTCTACTGTGAAAAGTATGTTCTAGTTTAGGATCAAAGAAAAGTAAAGGTACCTCAGTGTCAGAATAAGAATCATTTTTCAGATTCTTCACTCATAAACCATGAAACATAAACAATATCAACAACAGTTTAACAAATATAAAAAAAATAAAGAATTATATTAATAGAGTCTAAAGTAGAATAGTTTCAAAGACAAAGTTTAGTGTAAACTATCCCAGGAAATGGCGCTAAAAACTTATTGGGTGCTGATGCTCTTAAGGACGTTCCTTTACTTAGTCTATCAAGAGAAAATGCATTCGTTCTCAATATATTAACCCAGTCGCGCAAGTTCACGCATCAAGTAATAAATGCGATTATTAGTGCCCAATTTATTGTTTCCACGAAAATAGTAACTCTAAATAATACTTTGAACTAATCTAAAAAGAATTTAAAAGAAAAGAAAAGACAGTATTTGAACTATTTGGCCTTTCATTCCCTAGTGCCTCAAGGACGTTCCCTTAAAGTGCTAGGTTCAGAATGACTCTAAATAACTCCTCGCATCGTTATATATTAAATACTTCCTGATTTCAGGAGGAACAACAAGATCATGGGAGAATTGGTTCAGTGGTTACAAGATATTAAATGCTAAAATTTAAAGATAACAATAATTAAGAGACAACAAGATGAATGATTAACAAAAACAGTTTTTAACACAAGGAACAGATCCACTATTCCATTCTTAAATAACTATGCTCTCAACTCAAGACTTAACCCTTCTGAATTTGTTCAGGTCTTTTCACTACCAACTCTGATTCTTTAGCTCATGGACTAAGGCTGCGCATGACAACCATTCTGATTCCTGGCACTGTTTCTGAAAAGAAATGATTCTTTTCTATTTCTGTGCCTTGGAACAATTCTGAGAATCAGAATTATGTTTGTTAACATATTTTATTTTTATTCTGAGAATCAGAATTACGTTCGGTAACACATTTTATTTTTATTCCGAGAATCAGAATTACGTTTGATAACACAATAAAAATATATTTCTTTACTTTTGTTTATAGATTTCATCAACTGTATAAAATAGCAAATGACAATAGATTGTAACCGAAATGCCAAAATTTATATTTAAAAGAATTATCTAAAAATTTATAATATTTTATTATATAGTTTTTTTTTACGACAAATGCTAATATATAGTTTTAACTCTTATTTTTCAATCATCTTCACAATTCATATTTTTTTGTTTGTCATTCCCTTGACCATTTTATTTTTTAATATCATATTATTACCTTAATATTAATGATACAAATGAATAAATAAATACATATACATAAGTCACATCACTCAACTAAATTTTCATGACATCATACTTAAAGCAAAAAATAATTGATGTTGCATTGAACAAAAAAATGACAAGTCTCCAATGTATTTCGAATATGTCTCTTGATTCATCAACATCATATTGGGGGCAATTGATTATCTATAGCTAATTGGTTTGCAATATTTTTCTTAATAATGTCTATTTGGGTCACTTGATTTGAGGAGCCTTCATCATCTATAGTTGCAGATGTATGGGTTGATGCTGCAATGTTGGGATTTGCATAATGTGCTACATTTTTGTCTGCTATCTGATGATCCCTGATAAAGTTATGTACTGCACAACATGCAATCACAATGAGAGCTTGCTTCCGAAATGAAAATGAAGGCATTTTATGCAAAATTGGGAACCTATTCTTCAAAGCTCCAAATGACCGTTCGATTACATTTCTCAAAGAAGAGTGCCTATGGTTGAACAACTCCTTAGTTGATCTGGGTTGATTTCGTCTTCCTCTATAGTCATTCAAATGGTAGCGCTCTCCTTTGAATGGTGTCAAATAACCATCCCTAGTTGGGTATCCAGAATCAACAACATAAAATTTGCCTACATGTCGACAAGAATTTACCAATATATAAATTGCAATAATAAGGACAATCAAATGTGAAACTAAAGAAAAATGTCATTCACATTGCTGTATAAACTCATCATACCTGGTGGGGGATGAGGGAATTCCAACCTAGGAGATTCAAGCGCAGTACTAAAAATACGACAATCATTTGCTAATCCTTCCCATCCGGCATACACAAAAGTGAACTTCATATCAAAGGAACATGTCAGAAAATAAACCATATCACCAAAAATTAGAAATGCACATACTCAGCCTGGTGAATAATAGTCTGATAAAACTATGAGGTTTATGTGTAATTGGATGCTTGCCATACAATTACATATATTATGAACCCAAGAAAGGTAACCTGGATGCAAAGGGTAATCAATTGCTTGAAAATAAATTACATGGTTTTTAGAAGCAGAAATGAGAACCGGTCCTCTAGTACTTTGTTTAAAAGAATCAATGTTATTTAAGGGTATTGGAATTCAAAGAAGTGTACTTAGTTACAGGGGTCTCAAAAGCATAAATGAGAATCTTTATTTTGCTACTTAATTATGTGAGATTCTAAATTATTAAGAGTATTTGAATTTCAGGAAGTTTACTTGGACTAGGATAAGGTGCATCAACAGTTTTTTATTTTGGTGTATTGAGTACAATTTTTTCAACCAGAATCCTACCACATGTAGTTAGGTCAACTTCAATTATGAAAACATATGGCCTTTTTTTTTCCCTTCTCTTCAATTATGAAAACATAATGTCTTTTCCTAGTTCATTAAATTTTAATATCAGAAAGATTGCTTAAGGTATCCTAAAAGTGCTCACTTTCAACAATGGAGCATAGATCATTTTCAATCTGCATAGCAATAACAAGTCATTTCTATAGGTGACATTTTCAATCAAGATTCAAGTGTACTTTAATGTAATCAAAACAATGTAGTGCATTCTACAGTAAGCCACTCATTCTTTTCCCTTTTTTTCTTCTCTTATATTTTTCATTTTGCTCCATATTGAGTACTTTACAACATATTTTACTATTAAACTAAGTAATTATTTGGCAAAGGACAAATCATTTAGAAGTGTGTAATCCATTATGTGCAGGGACATTGACCAGCAAGTGTCATATTGCATATAGTGGCAAGCATAACCCCATACACACACACACAGTCTGCAGTGTCATATTCAAGCTTGTCACATTAATAAGATCCTTTGACTATAACAAAGAAACTTATAAAATATATGGTTCAGTGCTTAGAAGCAACTGAATTTTCTAATAGGCTGTCTGGTGTACCACCAAAGAAAACTAAGTTTCACCATCCATTTGATAACATAGAAAATTGAGTTTCCACCTTTTATAATTCAATTATACAAAGAAGAATGTAAAGCTACCGTAACAGAGAGGCAAAAGTTTGTTGCTCGTGATTGTTAATTAATCCTACAAAGGCAACACAAATTCGATTATAATTCAAAGACAAACATGAATATGAAGATGAAGACAATGAAGTGGAAGAATAACACAAACCATAAATCTGTAGGTACGCACACAATTTTTTTTCATAATATTAAATTATTTTTATTTGCACGAACTGCACTTTTCCATATCCAATCAATGGAGACGATTGTCTCGGCAAAAGAATGAGATAAACAGATTTGTGAAGCGCACAGATACCTAAAACTGAAACTGAGAGGAGAGAGAGAGGATAAAGGAATGAAGTACCTGGATGGTGGCCGAGACAATCGCTGCCGTTGATTTTGGAAGAGAAGAACAAGCGATAGAGATTGAAGGGAAGGAGACGTGCAACTGGGAAACACAAGAGAGAGAGGGAAGGAGACGAAGTCGTGAACGCAAGAGATTGAAGGGAGGGGTTTATTGTCGTCTGATATGGTTGAAAGCAGTGATGGTTCGATGTTGGTGTGTGAGCGGATATGAAGTCGTGATAGTCCGAGAGAAAACTGATTCTCTTTTTTTGCCCTGGAATAGAGAAGTAGAAATTTTTTGATTCTTTTTTTTGTTTCCCAGCACACACAAAAAACCAGTTTATCCCGGGAACAAAAAAATAAACCGGATTTGTCAAATGCAATTCTCATCCATTTTTGTTCCCGGGAATAAAAATTAAAAAAAAAACTCATTCCGGGAAGGTTGTCATGCACACCCTAAATGGCTCACAAGTTTCCATATTTCTGTGCCTCCCTTGACTCCAACAGTTACTAAGTTCATAACCTTTAGGGAACGAGGTGGTTCCTTATTCCTAAGGCAACCAATAAGATTGTTTCCACAATCTTACCTCCTTCATATGATTAAGTTGTCTGAAATCCTTTCCTTAAGGAAGTTCCTTTCTCAGTTTGCGTTCAATTTCCATTGATACCTAAAAAGTCAAGAATTCTTGAATCACAGAAATACATAAGGTTCAGTGGAAGAGTTTTGAACTTATTTCTTTAAGAATTTCACAGCTTTTCCATTCCAAAATAACTTATCCCGTGGCTGAAAACACAAACATAGTTATTTCAATCTGAAATCCCGTCGACCCGAGATTCAGGTTGAAGATAATGAGTAGAAGGGAATAGAAATAACAAATGTATATTAATAAACGATAAGTTTACAATACTAAGAAATAAAATGGAGAAGTATGGAGATTGCTAGTGAGGAGTCTCAAATGGTGAAGAGGAATGGGAAAAGGGTTGTTGTCACTTAGCTATTGATAAAGCTATACAAGTTAAAAATGCAGAAATTTAAACTACGACTAGATGATCTCTTCTTAAGGAATTCAATTCTTTCTTCATGTGGGATTCTCCTATTTATAGGCTGAGGTAGTGGATGGCAATCTTGTGATTCTTCTTCAACTGATCCTTGATTGAATGGAGAGGCAGTGAACTGGTGCTTTGACAAGTGAAACAAGTCGCTTGATTAGATGGCCTAGGGTTGAGTTTTGCCTTTTTATTCTGAAACCCACATGCCTTTTTTTTCTTCTCTAAACCAATGAGCACTCTTCATTCTCTGCTGTACACGTTTCTTCCTGCTTGATTGCTATACTATTTTTTTGCTTTTAGAAGTTTCTTTTCAATGTTTCCTGCAAAAGAGTCAGATGAGAGGTTAGCGGAGCATGTGTACAAATAAGTCAAACCATTCCCATTTTTCCTGCATTATCAGCTAATTATATCACCATTTGTTCCCTTCTGCTATTTTTGTTCTCAGGATCTGGGAACATCTTTTTATAGCAAAAATTGATTACCAATTGGCAGAACAGATGGATTTTTATCATCAAAATGGGCTTAAATGGGAATGAATTTTCGCCCTGTCAGATAGTATCTTGATTGCTTAAGAAATATATTTATATACTACTACTATTATGGGGGACGCCTCAGTGTTGATAAAAAAACACACTTCTTAGAGCCGTTATATATGGGATTTGTTGTGGACACCAAATGGACTAGGTTCATCTGTGATCCAGAGGAAGCCTTGGCCAAGGAAATAAAAGATTAGTGACAGATACGCCGGGAGTGCTCCAATTATGGTTGCATCTGGTTGTTCTAGAGAGACAAAGGTCCTCATAGTTGCCTGTCTGGACTATCCGAGGTAGAAATAATAACTAACGGGTGTCATATTCAGTTATGTGTATGAGATACTCTGTTGTGCTCCATATAGACTATGTTCTCGGAGACATTGATAGTATTCCTAAAATTTTAAAATATATATCTAGGAATATAGTGAAAATGTATTGTGTTCAGAGTAGAAAATGAAATCTTATGTCTAAAAGACGGATAAGGTAAAGAGTTAAGTATAGTTGAAAGCTAGAAAACTTTGGATGTTTGAATTACTATGTTCCTTATAGAATAAAAATTGTAAGATGTGAGGGAGTGAGAAATTGAGATGATGGTTAGCATACAAAGCTAAGTCATTATATAAGTAAAAGAAAGGAGGGAACTAAGCAATTTCAAGAATAGGAGATGAATTCTCTGTCGGTTCTTAGTATTGGAAAAGTATGGTGTTTTGATTTTGAGGACAAAATCTTTAAAAGGTGGGGTGAATTTAATAACCCTCACTATCAAAATAGGTGACAATGAACTAGTTCGGAGTTCAAGTGAATTAAACACTTGTTCAAGGAAACAGTGAGCGATAAATCATGTAAACTACGTGATAATTAAGTGAAAGATACAGTTCAAGCCAAATAAGTCAAATATGATTATGATGGAATTATATAAAAGATTTGGGGTCAAAGTATAATTATGTGAAAGTTTAGGGACTAGTTTGCAAATAAGTGAAACTTGGTCTAAATTTGATTTTCATTGTCTAATTAAATTATTTTTAGAATTCTATGAGATATAAGTGATATTATTTTGATCAAATGATGTCTAGATTAATTCTTAAAATTTGGTCAAAGGTTGGATAATTATTAACTAATGGAAATTTTTTTAAGACAAAGTAATTGTAAAATTTTTAAGACTTTGTAAATTATGAAAACTAGCAAAATTCCTAAACATATTGGATGACCTTATGATCATGTTAAGGCTAAAGTCAAAGAAGTCAAAGGTTGATAGAAATTAACTAATATGAATTAAGGTTGAAAGTCTTAAGAATAAATTGTCCAATAGGATTTAAGTTTGAAATTCAAAGGTGACATGTAAAGTAATTCAACTACTTAGTCTTAAAGAATAGTTGAATAAGTTACTAACCAAAGAATAAGATTTGAAGGTCTAAAGATGAATGAACCAATGAGAAGTTAGTTGGAAAGTCAATAAAGATAGCTAAAGGAAATTTCAAAAGAACAACCAATGAAAAATTACTTTGAAGGTCAAAAGTAGTGACTAAGTTAAGATGTATTCTTTGCAATTTTCAGCCCATATAGGTCGGCCATATGGTAACTATTTTCATGCCACCTTAGTGTCTTCACGAAGCCAAAATGTTCTAGAGTGTGGTATTAAGAGATGACAAAGCAAAGTGCATAGGAAATCAACCAATGAGAAGAAAGCTTGTAAAGTTAAAACACTTAGAAAATATCTAAGTTATTAAACTATTATTTTCCATCATGCAGGTCGGTTCTTTATTTCTTTCTAAGACCAAAAATCTGAACTTTTTCTTTCTCTCCAAAACCGTGACCACCATGGAAGCAAAGAAAAACTTGAGAACTTCATTTTCTAGCCATTTTAAGGTCAATGTTTCAACATAAAACTTATAGCCCTTGAACTTGTGATCAAAACCCCCTCTATTATTTCTTCATGTAGAGCTTTATATCTTGAGATAATA